CGTTGTAATGGATCTAACTGATATTCATTGTTTCATAAATGCATTTATGTAAGATAAATTAGGTTCTGGGGCTCTGACACAGAATATCTTTTTGATGACTAGTCTTCTCAACAGAAGAAAACAAGTTGCTGAATAATAATTCTAATGCCACAATCCTCTGAAAACATTGAAGAGGATGTGTATTGATCATTGAACAATTGGCACAGCAATTGGCCTTTTCTTCTGAGGCTGCATTTAGCAAAAAAGAAAATGAAAAGGCATTGCTTTGGTATTTAAAAATAAAATCTGCTGCAACAGGGCACAGCTGTGAAAAATTAAGCTTCATTTATAAAGTTCTATAGTGTTTCAGTCTCTTAAAATATTACATTATCTGAAGATCTACAGTAAATTGTCATTATGTTCAATTCTTGAGTAAAAGATTGCCCTTTCTAAAGGATAAAATAAAATCACAACACTTGTTAGTTAAAAGTTAGTTTAAAAATGTCTAGAGATGACAAAATTAAAGATCAAACTCAATCCAGAGATCTTTTTATTGGGAATATCAGAACTGTCATGGAGTAAAAAAACAACAGCATCTAATACTACACTTCATCACAGCAGCAAGAATAGCCTTTGCCCAAAATTGGAAATTAACAATGGTACCCACAGATCTAGCAGTAATCAACAAAATTTACCAATGCGCAGAAATGATTAGATTAACTATAATATTAAAAAACAAGGAAGAGGGAGAATTTTTTACAACATGGAATACATGGTACAAATGGTTAAATGAAAAGGAAATAAAGATGTATATTGAAAATGATTAAAGAGATATTATGGAACAGAAATAAGGATAAATGTATAGCTATGTATATAGGTGTAGTAGTGTAGTAACATAGAAAAACGAACAATGTATCACGACGTATTAATAACATAGATAAGTAAGAAATTAGGAATTAGATTTAAGATATTATTGTAGTAAATGATTTCAATTAACACTAATCGAGATGTACACTGTTATGAAAACACTGTAAAATGTGAGAACGTGATTCTCTTTTTAAAATATTTTTTCTTGAATAAAAACTTAATTTAAAAAAAAAAAATAAAGTCTAGTGCTTAACTTCCCTAGAAATGTGAATTATTTTTTCCTCTATTTATATATTAATATGTCAGGATATTAGTATTCATTTTTACCAACCTATTTTTTTACCTTTATATCCTATTTGTTTGGTTTTGGGGTGCGTTCAGGGTTGCATTTATTCCATAATTTTTTCTCCCACAAAAGAACTCTGGGTTGAGGGATAGTGTTGTCTATCACTCAATTAGTTTCTATGGCTTAACAGGACTCGAATGTAAGTTTTTAGTATTAGAGGTTATTAGTATTAGAAGGTTTTGATCTCCAACTTGGCTGGCACGCCTTCATGTGGGATGGAAAGTCTAAACAACATTCATATTTCCAAAGGCACCATGTAAGAAATGTGTTGTTCAATATCTGGGGAAAGATTTTTAAAAAAACACTACCCAAAGGTTCCACTGTGGCTATCTACATTGGAAGCAGTCTATTGGATTATGAAAATATTGTCAGGTATAAAGATTTACTATATGATACTGGAGAGCTTAAAAATAGGAACCAAATACAAATTCAAGGAAAGGAGATAGCATAGTGGCCCTTTGCACAAATACAAACCCATTATAAAAAAGAAAGAGAACAATTTGGCTTTAATATCATCCCACAAGAATTAGATAAAATATGGCTAGGAGAGGAAAAGAAAACAATTAGTAAAACATATAAATATCTTTTGGATTACAAATTAAAAGAAGAAACAGTCACAGAATCTATGATAATTTGGGCTAAAAATGTAGGTCATAGTATTGAATTAGATAAGTGGGAACACATCCGCCAAACAAATTACAAATTAACCATGTCAGTCTCGTATAAAGAAAACCTATATAAAATGGTTCATCGCTGGCACCTACCTTCTGTGAGACTGGCTAAGATGTTCCCCAACCTACCACCCAACTGTTGGAAATGTAACTACGCACAAGGAACATATTTTCACATGTGGTGGACTTGCCCATGTGCTCAGAAGTTTTGGAGAAATATTAGAAATTGGATTTTAAATATAACAAAACAAAATTTAAAACTTGAACCCGAAACCTTTCTGCTAAGTATGATAGATTTAAACATGGAGAAAAAATATCAATATTTAATTTTGCACATCATAACTGCGGCCAGAATAATCTACGCACAAAACTGGAAACTGTCTTTCATTCCTTCAGAGGATATGGTAATTAAAAAAATACATGAATGTGCTGAGATGGATAGCCTAACCAAACTGTTAAAAAATAAACAAGATAGTGACTATTATGAAATTTGGAACATTTGGTATGATTGGTTAAAGAAAAGGTAATATTTGATATTTGGATAAGTTATGGAAATGACAGAAGACGTGCATTTAATTATAAACTATATAGAGAAATCTAAACATTAAAAGAATGAAGGAGTTATTGTAACAAGGCAGATACGTCAATGATAAAGATAAAGAAAAAAAATTTAACCATTGCTCAATATACGCTGTAAAATGTATATATGTATATTGATTTGTCTGTTTTAAATGTATGTCAAATAAATGTTTAATTAAAAAAAAAAGAACTCTGGGTTGACGGATAGTGTTGTCTATCACTCAATTAGTTTCTATGGCTTAACAGGACTCGAATGTGAGTTTTCCCAGTCTTACTTCAATGCCTAAAGCATTAAAGAATGCTAGCAACTTTGAGAGAATCACTTAAGTATGTTTCTAAAATTTTAAGTAATTTGTTAACAATAGCTACTATGCTAAGTTAAATGCTATGCAGTTGTGAATTATCCAAAACGGATTTAGACAGCTTGATCTTCTAACAAGAGAAGTTCCACTGCATGTTAATCTAATCTATTGTTCTGAAGAAATGTAAGCTCTTTCGTCCCTTAAAATGGACTTGATATGGTAGAAAGATAGTATGCAACCCAAAGCAACTTCCTGAGTTGTGAGTGTTTAACAAAAAACACTGCATCTAAGGGGAGCAAGAGACTATCAAAATAGTGGACTATTATCATTCCCAGGTTGGTTGATGAGGAAAGAAAGTGAAACCAGGAGTTTAGCAGACATTTCAGCCCTGCAGTTCTTTATTATTAAGAATTTTCCATCCTATTTAAGTCAGTAGGGGAGATATTGGTTATGCAGGCCCTAATTAGATACAGTAAAAGACCATTACTGTGAACCATCAGGAGAAGAATGAGCTTTGGCTTCAAAGATTCATTCTACATCAACTCTGCAACTCCCAGTTTTGGGGGGCAACCATCAGAAACTTCTGACAAAGATGTTCCTCTCCACTACTTAATGGAATCAAATTTGGTCCCATCTTGTTTTCAGAGAACCATTCTGGTAGTAAATAGACAGACAGTGTCCTGAGCCTCATTGCATAAATTCTGTTAGTTAGAAAAAATTAAAGTGTTCCAACCTAGTGTGCCAGAATAACAAAAGAAGAGATCAATATTTGAGAGTAACTTGGTCTTAAAAAAAGTATACTATCTCACATATTAGTATTTTATTTTACAAAGGTATATTTTGCAGCACCAGCATATATTTAACTATATCCATTTGAAAAAAGACAACACAGATTTTAAAGGTAACAAGGTAAAAAATAATAACATTAAAGCAAAGGAACTGAATTTTGATAGAACTATCATGACTATAAAAACATATTTTTTATTGTAATGATATCTGCTGGAACATTTGAAAATGCTAGAATTAATGTCCATTCTTAATTGATACAACAGCATGATTTAAGAAACAGTATTCCATTTATTTATGCTTTCTTATTTGCATGCAAAGTATTATATATAGAGAAAAATAATTGACATTACCAGATTAATCATTAAAGGCAAGATTTAGCAATAGAATACAAACTTATACACCAGCAGACATGCACACATGTAAAACTGTCTACTTATTCCAATCAAAGGCCACCCTCTCAAGATACAGTTCTTAAAATCAGAACATTTCAAATGTCAAGTCTGATTTCAGACACTATTCTATGCAAATGGGAGGTGGGTGGAATGTCTTCATTCAATTTATGCACATGTATTAGATAGAATGTTCCTGTGTATTATGTACATAAAAATGTGAATGGAGCCTTTGTGAACTGTTGTCTTGCTTTTCTAAAGAAAATTTATCATTCAAAGAGTAACTTGGAAGGGAAAATAATCATCACTTTATCAAAAAGCTGATTTTCCCCAAAATTTATTATAAATCCTTGCTCTTATCAAATTACAAGGGTTCTATGTTACTGCAATTTACTTAATGTTCATTGTTAGTGCATGGCTATGGTGTTTCTGTACAAATTTCAACTTGATGTTTGTGTCATTATCCTAGATCTTAGTTGTTTGTATTTTGAGGAGCTTAAGGGAGCATATGGATTAATAGAATATAAAGGTGAATATATATTTTAGATACCTGCCTCCTTGGAAAGCAAGGGCTTGGGGTTTGAAATATTTAATTAATTTAGAATACTTGTAATAGAATACAGCAGCTGTAGTTCATACCAGTTCATTTGTTTGATAATGGCGTTAGCAGGGATTGTTGTGAGAAATCTGTTTGCAGAACTCTGTTTATGTTTATAGAGAGAAAAGGAGGGGAAGAGAAAGCAGGGAATGGAGGGAGGGAGAGAGAAACTTGACATGCCAACTTTGCTCTTTCAAGAATTTTATGGGGTTGCACATGGCTTATGAACCAAAGATTGTTCATTTATGTTTTAGACTTTGTACAGAAGATAATTAGATCTGTAAATATGTTAAACTCACCTATATTCTGTCTTTTAGAAAACTGATATAACCGTATCTCTGGAAAATATTCTAAAGATTTTTAATTTGACTGCAATTTGTTAAAGCAATGTTATTCTCCGTGAAATTGAACTGTGAATCTAACCCAGGTTCTTTTATACATAGATATAAATCTAGAAAAAAGGAATAGGGAAATCCTTACCTTGAAGGGCCTGAAGGGTGCGCGTCTGTACAACAATGCAGAGTTGGAGGACCAATTGTGGGGCACTTTCCAAAAATGTAGCAAGCAAATGCAGCATACTCACATCTGCATACTCATGGACCATTTTCCAATAAAAGCGCCACCTGTCATTCTCTCCACTCTGTCTACTCCGAATGCCCAAATATATAGTATGGAAATATCTAAAAAGAAAGTTTGAGAATAAGGCTAAAATTGTAATATAGTGCAAATATTATTAAGTTTAATACTCTACTTTTCTACAGATATGATAAATGGAAATGATTAAAAATATATTAATTAAACAGAATACATTAACTACATCTATAATGATGGGTATTTACTGTTCAGCAAATGGATAGTTAGCAAATACTCTGACTACATAAATCAAGAAGTTCCACAAAAGGAAACAGAGGTGACTTCTGAAAGGAGTTTAAAAAGTTGAGATGGTAGTCCTACCTCTTTTTTCACATGGCATGATCTATGTGAAAAAAGAACATGGTGGTGGCCTTGACTTTTTTTGTTCCAAACCAGTTTTTGTGGGCACCCAGAAGGAAGCACTGAGCACTGACTGATGTAGGTAAAAAGTCACCTAAATGGATTGATTAAACAAATGCGCAATTAAACAGTGTCTATCAAGAAGCAGAAAGGGAAGTAGAAAACAACAACACATTAACGTTCTTGAAGATCAGAAGAGACTGCAATAGCAAACTAGAAACACAAATCTATTGAAAAGTCAGCTACCCCAACCAAGAGCTACACTAGTAAAATAGCAATCCACCATCCCATAAGAGAAGCTGTATAAGAACACTGTTTAGACAAGCACAAACACAATGCAGCGATTTTGAACATCCAAAAAAGTAAAGAAGTCATCTATACAACATCTTCCAACACAATGGATATCCATGCAACTTCATCAAAAAGTGTTTGACCACTGAACTCAATATAGCACCAACAACACAAGCTGTGAAAAGGGTAACACTGCCATACACCAAAAACATTACAGAAACCACCAACAGACTATTGCAAGCACATGGCATCAACATACCACCCACACCAATTAAAGGCCTCCAAAACATTCTAAGTAAACCAAAAGACACAGCAACTTCAGAAGAAAAAACAGGAGTCATCTACAGTGTCCAGTATAAGAATTACACTGCAATTAGACAGGACAAACAGGCAGAAGACTAGCAGAAAAAGTCATGATGAAAATATCCTTAATTTCACAACAAATGAACAGACTTAACCATAGTTTCAACTTGGAAATTGTAACGATTCTAGACCATGGCAAGCCTAGAAAATTCTTGGAAGCTGGCAGTCTGAAAAATTGGTTATCTAGAGAAACATGAAGATAAACAACATATTGTGCAAAAGAAAGTATTAACTAACCAAAGAGAGAACAAAAAGACCAGATATATACTCACAAACAATCAACACCCAGATGAGCAGAGATTAATTCCAATATTGACATTAGACACAACAGTCAAGATGCAAACAATGCCCCAATCAAGAAATGGCCAAACAAGCTAACCCTAAACAGGCCAACCAAAGAATCACCAAGACAACTCCCACCAACACTGACAGAGCAAGCCACTAGATAGAATATAAAATAAGAGCAAACCCCATTCCTCACTAACACTGATGATGTTTCCCAGTTTGAGTAATGAAACATCTGCAAGAAAACAACCAAATTCAGAGAGCACCTCAGAAGCAATATATTAGAACTGGTTGGATATTTATTTGTATTTATTATTATATTTTTATGCTGCTTGCTTATCTCCCTTATAAGGTGGCTCTAGATGGCATGATTTGATTTGTAGCCAATGATATAACATCAAATGATGTTGAATTCACAAATGAACATTTTAAAAGTTTTTTTAAAGGGAACACATGTTATAAAAGTATAGATTTTAATTTAAACTGAGAAAAAAAGAACAGTTTGACAGGGGATACAGTTGATCACTGCATTTATTTAAGCAGAGCCTAGATTCTCATATGACTCAGGTACTATAATTTGGATTTCTGCATTGAACAGGGGATTGACCCTACCTAAATAATGCCTTCCAACTCTGTTTTATATATATAAAACTTGGGAGAATTTTTTAAAAAAAGATTCATGATTTCAAGTAAGAATGCCATTCAGAATCACATGCAAGTCAGACAGGTAGCAAAATAAATCCAATAAACAAACCCTACTATGGAAGTAATTTTCATTCCAATTCTAAATGGTTAATAAAATTACCACTATTACTATTTCTTTAACAGCAATTCCACACAGAAGGTTCTAGGGGCATGCTGAAAATCTTCCAATTTAGTGAGGATTGACAGACATTACTTTAAATTAATATTGTAACTTTTACCGTATTGAGTGGTCTTGTCAGCAAGCATAAGACTGCAGCCTTAATCATTCTATATATACAAAGAACATTTCTATCACCAGTCAAGACTGAAATATTTATATAACTATTGACAGAGTATATTATATTGGGGGTTATTCAAACTGTGCCTTGAGGAATCTTTAGGTTTTGTGGCATTCCATGAAAAAGAGGGATAACCACCCCCCCTTTAAATGAACCAATCTTCTACAACTAGAGCTTTGATCAGAGATTTCAGAATTTTGCTTTTTTATTTACAGCTAGCAAATTCTGCTTCCTGAAAAAATTTGAGATTTCTCTAGAAGATGAAACATGTCCCACTTTTCAAATCAAGATTCACAACTGTCTTCTGAATTATTTGCTGGGAATATTCCAAAAGTCAATGAGGAGGGAAAAAAAAGAAATGGATGGGAATGAGATGAAAACATTCGAAGTTAATTGAATATAGCAGGTATCTTATCATTTTCCATTGTTCCATTTTCATATCAAATTATACATAGCGAAGGCAGAAAAAATCTACCTTGTCTTTTAGTTAAGTGCAAAATAAGCAGCACATAAGAATAAAATATATATTCTATGAAGATAAATAAGATAGGAGCAATATTTGAATTGCTTAGCATAAAAGAAAAATGCTGATTTCATGCCTTTTACATTTTGATACATATGCAAGTTACCTAAGTATGCCATTTGGTATATTATATTTAAACATTTATAAAAAGTTAAGGGATAAAAAGCTAATGACCGATTACAGATAAAGGAGAGATTGTCTGATTTGCTTTCTGTATCAAATAATACATTAAGCAATTTAGCTAAACAATAAACAGACACTCTTTGTGTCATCTTTAAAGAACAGAGAATAAAAATCTGTGTAGTTAGGATTTAGAAATAACATAAAACAAACTGCAATTCAGGTAAGTGACTTTTTTCTTGTTGCCTAGTTACCAGAAAAATTCACTATATTTTTAGCTCAACAGAAGTTATTGTTTATACAAACATTTATGGAACTATTTTTCCCCTGAAATGTTTGCTTATCAGTTTTAACCATATACAAAAGTGTGGGTGAACATTATTTTTTTAATGAACATTAGTTTGTTTTTCTATTAGGAATATATGACATTTTGTTCCAAACTTGGATATCCATTAAAATATTTTTATTAGATACCCAAATTTCATGAGCATATTAGGTTTGCTATTATAAAGTTTAATCTAAATTGATTTTATTATAAAATTGCAATTTTAAAGCTCAGTTCTTTCAAATATGTTGGAGTTTGATGATTTTTAAAATAAATGGGACACTGAATATGTTCTGAAACAAAGAATAATATAAAATTTGAATATCTAGAAAGGAAACAGCAAAGTGTCTAACTAAATTATCATATATACTGATGTGTAACACAAATTACCATGTATACTCATGGATAAACTGACCTTTGAATTTTTAAACCAAATACTATGGGCCCATTTGTTGCTCCTGTGCCAGCACTCAGAAGGCAATACATGCTGCCCCCCCAATGCCCCTGCACATGTGTGCGCGAAACCCCCATGCTACATGCATCTCTGCGCATGCATGACCCCTCCCCCGCATGCAGATCCCTGATAATCAGCTGTCGGGTGGTGGCATGCATGCGCATGCACAGTGGGGCTCTTCCGGGTGACTTCTCACATGCCGGCAGAAGTGGCTCTGGGTGCCACTTCCGGCACACATACCATAGGTCCGCTAACATGTGTATAGAATTTCCTAAGGGGGTTGGACTAGAAGACCTAGAAGGTCCCTTCCAATTCTGTTTTGTTATTCTTTGTAAAAATGGATATCTTTGATGGCTAATTTACGACATGGAATCCTATGTAAAATAAAAGGAAGCAGACTTTATAGGTAGCTGAGATTTTGCTTACGCATGTGCAATCAAGATAGAAAACCTTGAATTACGCCGTCTTCCATCTGATCTAAGTATGGTATATAAATTCATACATTGCAATGACTACCTTCAGCTTCAACCATAACAACACAAGAGCACACAATAGATACAAACTCAAGGTTAACTGCACCAAACTTGATTGCAGGAAATACGACTTCAGCAACAGAGTGGTCAATGTCTGGAATACTCTACCTGACTCTGTGGCTTCTTCCCCAAACCCCACAAACTTTAACCTTAGACTGTCTACTATTGACCTCACCCCTTTCCTAAGAGGTCTGTAGGGGCCGTGCATAAGCGCACCAATGTGCCTACCGTCCCTGTCCTATTGTTTCTTTTATTTTTCTTATATGTACCCATTTCATGTATTCATAACTATGTATATACTTATACCTATTATCTTGTAAGCGATTGACAAATCAAACAAATAAATAAAATAAAATAAATAAATAAAATAATATTAATATAGGAACAAAAGATCAGTTCCTAATTTAAAAGATGATTGTGGAAAATTGCAAGAGAAAGAAAACTAACTTGAATGTACTTGGATTGATTGCAAGAACACATTCAACTTCCTGTTACATGATTGGATAATTAAGTACCTAGAAGTAACAGGAATCTGTAGAAATATCAGCTTTGTGCAAAGATCAATAGCACAATGGATGACAAGGTTGCTGGTCAATAGTGACAGACTGGGAGAGTGAAATAACAAGAGAGGAATTTTTCTAGGAAATTCACTACTATAACTGCTGTTTGTCATTGTATTGATTCCTTTGCCAACAAAAATAAACCAGTCAGGCCATGGCTATCAAACATAAAAAACATCTGCCAGGCTATCTCACTTCCTTTACATGCATGATCTGATGCTGTATAGAAAAACACATTTGAAATAGAATC